AAACAAACGGAAAAAAAAAGTATTCTGAGACTGTGCATTGAAAAGACTACAGACTTACAAGCATGCCTCTACACCAATCCAAAGCATCACATTTACTGCCACGATTTCTCTACACTAATGACCTCCATTCCTATTAACACTGAACTAGGATCCAAGCTCCAAAAAGTAGCCTTTCCCAACGCAGAGATAAACACCCTAATCCTCAGCAAAAATGCAGTAGACATTTACACTGACGGAAGCAAGATGAAAGGTAACCCCTCAGTTGGCTCGTCGTGCTTTTGTCCATCTCTAAATATTCAGATCACAAAATCGAGCCCCATTAATGCCTCTGTCTACACCGCAGAATGCATAGCCCTCAAGGACGCCATGGAGTTAGCCTCCAAACTCCCTCGGCAAAACGTAATCATTTTCTCGGACTCACTTAGCGCGCTTCAGAGCCTTCAGAATATTCACCTCTCGGTTAAAACCAATCCATACATCCTCGAGATAAAGAAAATGTTCGCAAGTTATCTCTCCAATAATGAAGATAGATTAATCGAGTTCTTCTGGATCCCGTCTCACAAAGAGATCACAGGGAATGAAGAAGCTGATATCCTGGCAAAGAGGGCCACAACCTCTCCCCCCTCCTCTAGTCCCATCCCATTCACAGACCTATTTGAGTTCTTTAAAAAATCAACTTATGAAACGCATAACACGACCTTGAAAAGTTTAGGACAATCAAAAGGCAAAAAGTACTTCAAGTACTTCTTCAATGAATGCACCAAACCTTGGTTCTCCTCTTTAAAGCTTGAGCGGCGCTCCACAGTCATTTTTAACAGATGTAGAGCAAATCACTATGCCCTAGCAGAGTCCACAGCCAGAGTTGGCATCGTTTCCGATCCCACCTGTAAATGCGGTCAGGCCAAAGAAGACATCAACCACGTCGTATGGCAATGTCCACGTTACAACATCCAGAGAGCAAGTCTAGTTAAAAAGCTCAGCAAAATGAATCAACAGCCCCCCCTAAGCATGGAAATGTTCCTGGCTGCACCCACCGCGGCCATCTGTTCTTTGATTTCCAAATACTTAAAAGATATTCACTTAGATGTTTAAGAACATGCCAGGTCTACCTATACTGTCCCACAGCTTAATGTGTTGAAAAACAAAAAGAGTTAATTAATCTGTGACAAAATAGAATAAATGGATTGATAGTATTTAAGAATATTGTAGATAATATAAACTAAAAGCTGTAATATACCTGTGTAAAATGAATATGTCTAATGTATGCTTAAATAAGTCTCAGCTGAGACTTCACTAGCTTCAATAAACTTTTCAATATTATTGTGAAGCCACGAGTAATGTTTTATAAAAATATTGTTTAGTTTATCTGTAGTTTTTCTATTTTTCTCGTTGAAATTATAAATAGCTTTTGTAAAGTCTTTGACAATTCTTGACCAAGAGTATAATTTTTCGTTCTTAATTTTTGAGCATATCTCGGGAATGACTTTGACAAATTCATCCAGGCATTATCTTCCATAACTAGGAGGTTCTTGAATAATATTCCAGTTAGGCCTAGATGAGCACTTTAATAGATTAAGTTCTGTATACAGAAGAAGTTCTTCTTTTGCAGATTGATTGTTAAGTAAATCAAAACAAATTCCAGCTGCTAATACTCGAAGAGCACTAAATATATCATTGTTTAATTGGTTCTTAATGCATAAAAGTTTAACAAAATTAAAAATTATATTCCAATGATCAACTGTCAGATATTGTAATTTGAAAATTTTATATAATTTTTTTAAGCAGCTATATATATATATATATAGAATGAATTGTAATATTTACTGTAAAAAAAATACTTTTTTTTTGTAGATAATTCCAATTTTCTGGTCCCTTATGGAGAGGAAAACAATTTCAGCTTATATTTGTGCTTTGACATATTTTTCTACTGTTATAGCACCACAAATCAATCCTTCAGTAATCATGTCAGACTTTGAAGCGGCTCTCTCTCTGGCTGTAAATGTTACTTATCCAGCTGTATTACATCGTCATTGTTACTTCCATTACTGTCAGGTTGTAAATAACAATTAAATAATACAAACTATGAATTAAAGAGTAACTAATACATTATTTTATTAAAATAGGCTGTAATCGAGAAATTAGCCAAATTAAAGCTACTCAAGTTCTTTAGACAATGGAGGTTGAGTAAGATATTAATAAAAAAATTTTTATCACTACCTCTACTGCCAGCTGAAAATATTGAAGAAGCTTTTAATTGGCTTGTTTATCACATCCCGGATCTGATAAGGCCATTACTGCATCCATTCATAATTTATTATAGACGGCAATGGATCCAACGGATTCGCCCAGAACGTTTCAGCGTTTACAATGAAATTGATCGAACAAATAACTTCTCGGAATCATATAATCGAATACTAACTACAAGATGTGGTTGTCATCCATCTATATGGAAATTGACGGGTATGATATAGATATAATCAATTTATGAATAATGTTTCTCATTAAGACTAACAAGATTTTATAGTAATTATTGTTTATTGCAGATAATTTAAAATGTGTAGCTGAAAATGCACAATTGGAGTATCGGACACTACTGGCAGGACACCAAGTGAGGCGCAATCCACGTCCTGCTTATGTTTTACAAAATGAGAGAATAAAAGTAATATGGAGACTATATGAATTAGAAGAGATAAATATGCCACAATTTCTAGCATGCGCTTCTTATATTTCAACAGCATTTCAACAATACACTGAAGACATAGATTACGTAGAGTTAGAAGTCACTGAGGACAACAATTACGGAGGTAAATATATTATGATCAATAAAAAAATTTTTGTTATACTATCAATTTAAAATGTTAGAAAATTAAAATTTGTGCCTTACAGTTATTAATTTGAATAATCTTGAAAATGAGGAAATATTTGATGAAATAGATTCCACTAATATTACTGTTGACATGTTGAGGTAATTATAATAATAATTAGCAGCATCGAAGTTGAGCCGATAGCTATTTTAGCAGAACTGCACGTCAACGGATTACCTCGACGCCAAGAAGTCTTGAATAACATATTATGGCGAAACCGACTAGTTGAAGGTAAGGGAGTAATGACCAACAATTTTTTATAATACAATTTCATCAATGTAAAATTATCCAATTTATAATAAATATTTCAGAAGGTAGATTCGTTACAGACGATGGAAGATGCATAGGGTGTGTTGGGAATGTAGTACAAACTGAATTTCTACCATGTAGACATTGCGTATTGTGTGAAAGGTGTACTGAAGAGTTAAGAGAAACAGCAACTAGAGACGGACTTCCACTGAGATGCCCTATTTGTCGAGCTGATCCGGTTGAAGTGAGGCGAATTGAATAATTATTTCAAGCTGCATCATAATAATTAGCAGCATCGTCTTTTCAGAGTGAATAATAATAAAGTAGTATACTATTTGGTTTTTAATTTGACGGGTTATAAGTAAATCTAACATTAAAATAAGTTTTTTATATTATCTTTATATTTTGTTAAATATAACAAGGTAAGAGAAGATACGACAAGCCAGTTTTCTTTAGGCATCGCTCTATAGAACTATTGTTGAAAAGTCGTTCTTCTAATTTTTCATTTTTTCTTTGTTGTGGAGCAACAAAAGTATTATAAAGTAATGACTAACATTATTCAAGTTTTTTTAATTACTTATTTTTTTGTATTATGTTTGTACTTGAGAAGGTATTGACGATAAAATTGTAAGTTACAACGGATAATTTTAACATAGTCGAAATTGTTAGTTGTAATCAGATTTTTTAAGATAGACTATTATTGATCAAATAGGTTTATAAGTTGAGACATAATATAAGTAATAATGAATTTTCAAAATTATTGAATTTTAAAATGAATAGAGATCAACAACTCAGATTTATATAAAAGAATTTCTAATTTCGAAATATTCATTATTACAATTTACATGACAGTAATTGATAATAGATTATTTTTTTATGTTTACATGCATAATAATGGTGTTTTTTTTTAAAAAAATTGGATGAAAAAAAAATATAAGATATCGTCAAAAAATATTTTTATTCATAATTAAGTTAAATGCTTTTTAATACAGTTTGATATAAAGAATATTATCTGAAATGTATTCATTTTTATAAGTGAACAGTAAACTGTTAATTGAAATTACTTTTATTCTCTTACAATGTATGTTATTTCTATTTCAATAAATTTGTTCGATATATACAAAGAAAGAGTTCTTTATGAGTTTTGTAATTAATTATAAAATGTAGTTTAATTTTTTTAGTTTAATATTGATTTATTTCAATTATTATTAATTCATTTATTCTGTCTGTGTAAATGCTGAAACTCATTTTCTATTGACAATATACAGTCAAGCTCGATGTAGTTAACCCAAAAAATGTTTTTATTATATATGAAAATAGGTCTCTGTGTACACAATTAACAGAATTATAGATAATTTTCATTTATTTTCTGTAATAATGATCTAATATTATAACAATTGTTCGAAAATATATCAGTTTATGGCTGTTATCTTTTATCAGTTACTTTAAGAAATTTACTTTACCTACCGCGAAATTTGATTACCTACCGTTGGTAATATCTCGTTTCAATGTTATCGATATAGTTTGTGGATAAAATGACTATTAGAGATTTTTTTCTTTGGATACAATTGTCATTAAATATTTTAAGCATTTTCATAATCAAACTGTGGGATAGTTTATCATTGTATCTATAAGTTCTTAATTTATATCGTTACATGATCGAATTATGCATAATTATTTATGTGAATGTTGTCATTGATAATGGTGTTCTTTATAGTTGTACTAAATTTACATTAGACATAACTTCTCATAGGAACTTTTAGTTTTGGTCATTAGAATGTAGCTGTCGTTAATGTCTTTCCTGAATCTGTATGGTACCCGCATCTAGCTTGATGGTACACTCGTGTTCATTAATGCCTTCCCATTACCATGGGAGAAATTACCGACCGAGACGGTTTTTTTTTTATATGAATTATTCCATCTATTATTTTTCAAATATTCTATGACTAAATTCTCCTCCGGCCCTGCCCCCTCTTAAAAATAAATTTTCCTACTCCAAAACATCTTATTTCCCCTAATTTTAATTATTTCCCCTCATTTTTGACAGCTAACAAACATTTTTGTTTATAAATAATAAACAGTGTACAGTGTCAATTTTATAAATGTAAACATAACTCGTGTTGACATGTATTCGAGAGGCGAGTTATCATAGGATATCTAAAGATTTTTGTAAGTAATTATCAAATTTAAATTTAATTTAATATTACAGGTTATAATGTAATTAAAATATAATTGATATCAATTATATTTTATTATGATTTATCTCAATTTTAGAGCCGGCTTTCAAGTACTCTTTGGAAATTAAGCGATAGTAGTCAAAAAATTGATCAATTATGTGGTACATTCCAATGATAATAAGAAAAAAAGAAGCAAAAAGTTATAGTACAAAAAAAATGATTAAAGATGAATACAAAAAAGGAGATAATTGTGTTATTATCGAAGATGTTATTATCAGTGGAAGTAGTATTTTAGAAAAGACTTAACTCCAGAAGGTTTGAACGTTACTAAAGCATTAGTAATTATAGACCGAGAACAAAGTGGCAAAAAAAATATAGAAAATGCTGGTATTAAAGTAAGAAGTTTGTATACTCTTACCAAGTTAATGAAGTATCTTTTTGAAGCTGTTAAAATTACTTTAGAAACGATTAAAAATGTTTCTCAATACATAAAAGAATATTCAGCACCATTGATAACATTGAATAAAGGTAAAAATTAATATAAATTTTAAAACATTGCAAAACAAACATTCATGAACATAAATGATTGATTTTTAAATCTTGTTGTTACCACAGGTAGCGAGGGCGTAAAATCGTCTTCGATAAAAATGAAAAGTCAAGCCTAGCCTGCAGGATACTTCTTATTGTATCTCTGCAAGAGTGCTTGTGATACATTCACTAATTTTTTATTGTAACTCATAATTAATAATGTTTTTTTTAAATATATAGTCAAGCAAGTGATGATTGTTTGTTGTAAATTTTATAATTGTTTTAGACATAAATCATAGAGTATTGTTTTCATCTAAAAATAATTTTTTTTTCATTTTTTAAAAAAATCATTTAAGAAAAGAACATTCTTTATAAGACACCTTAATAAATATTTATTAGATTAAATTTGTTGTAGAATGATTGCAAATGATATTGGCGTTAAAGAGATTAATTGCATTGACTGCTATTTAAAATATTGTGAACTGATGCTTGAATTTGAGGTAAGTAAAAATTTTTTTTTATTCAATTTTAATGTTAAAAAATTTTTACAGCGACAAAGACGATTATACAAAATTGGAAAATTAAGATCGAAAGGAAAACTTTTTGATTATATCATCAAGTTTTACTTATAATTTTAATCCTGAAAAGCAAGTCTTCAATGTATAAATGTCTAGTGATAGACATATATATGTTTGCAATGTCTAGTGATAAAAAAGATCCACAATTACATAATTTATCTCGTTAAATATATTTATATTATATATTTATATATATAAGGAATTCAGATATAAATTGTAGAGTTCAAAATTAATGAATTGTTATTGTAAAGACCGTTAACAGTATATTATGCAGTGAAGTGAATATTTATTTTTACTTTTTCAGTAAACATAGTTAATAGTTTGTCTTCGATTCACTTAATAGAACTGCTTATTTATTGAATATCTTTGTATAAATAATTAAATAAAAAATTTTCTTATCATATCATTGCAAATACGTATGATATTTTTCCTCAAAAAAGAATTAGATCTTTTTAAGAATGAGAATGTACTATGTTTCAAATATTAATAAAAATAAGAAAAAAAATAAAAAGTATTTTTTGTGATTATCATTAACATTTATTAATATGTATATTGAAAAATAACAAAAATAATGGATTGTTATGACTGAAGTCATAACATTTTTTATAATTATAATAAATGTAACATTTAAATTCACTGAAGACACACTGTTTATTATTTATAAACAAAAATGAATACTGTTTCATTTCTGCTTCTGAAAGAGAGTGAAGGAATAATGTTACCTAAAAAAAATAAAAAAACTAAAAATAAGTGATGACATTTCTGTGATTACGTTTCTGTGATTAAGAATTTTCCTCGATCATTGTAAATATATTTTGAAGCTTCTTTGACACCATCTAAAACTCCTGTACCAGATACTGGATGAATAGTTACCAAATCCGCCCACTCCGAGATTTTATACAATCCTTTAGAATATTGCAGAGCTACTGTGTTACGGATATCTCAAAATTTTTAGTCTTCCATGATCAAAAATTTATGTTTTAATGCTTTATAAAAATCATCAATTATGTCTACGTGGATTTTTAAAATAACAATGTGGGGTCCAGCAAGTTCAGCTAATTCTAAAATATCATTAGTTTTTGTCATGTCAGCTGCTAATCAAAGATTTGTTTTTTTTTTTCCCATGAGCTCGAAAAGATTGGCAGCCAGCTGATTCATAGTAAGCTTTGATCTAGATGCATAATCCATTATCAAACGATTATGTGATGATTCTGTAAACATATTAAATATTTAAAAATCAATCATTCATTTTTATGAATGTTTGTTTTGCAATGTTTTGAAATTTATATTAATTTTTACCTTTATTCAATGTTATCAATGGTGCTGAATATTTATCACTATCTAGTGTCGGTAATGATCCAGCCAAATAAAAATATAATGAATCTTCTCCAACATAATAGTCAACTAGTGCAGTCCTTAATTTAAAGGAATATGTTTTCTTGGAAGACTCTGATGAATCGAACGTTTCAATACCTAATATCTCAACTAATGGAATTTCCTTATAGTATTTCGATCCTGTATCACTTTGAAATAATGTTATTGCTTTTGAATCAAGACGCCAGTAATGTCTACGTAGAGCTGAATCACGACTGGTGTAATGAATCATCCAACCTTCTTTTAAAATTTTTGCACCGCATTTTTTTGTATGTTTCACACTTTGTACAATTCTCATGAAAGGTATATTATTGCTTAAAGGAGATTTATAAAGAAGAGATACATTAAAATAGAAAATATCGATGATAATTAATATTGATGAATTAATCATTATTCAATTTTGATTTGAAAACTTCGGTACGTTTCTGATCTTTAAAAAAAATATGAATTCATGTATTCAATGGTCATATAAACAAATTGTATTAAATTATGAGTCTGAGAACAGAGTTTACGACAGCTTCAAATAATATTTATTATCTGCAAATGTATTTGAAATAAAGTAGGTACGTTGTAACTTTGTACTCTTTTTACTTTATAATAATTTCAAAAAAATTGAATTTAACAGGTAATTATTTCAGCAAAAAAATCTTATATTCTTGATATGTAAAAATACGTATTACTATATGCATAAATGAATATAGAAAAACTTACTCTGATGAGTTTGGTTGACAAGAGTTTGGAAGTGGTTCGTCAGAAATTTTTAGTTGTTGCTGTAATGAAAAAATAATCGTACATCCAATAGAAAAAATTATAGTGTCGGAATGAAGTAATGTCAATAATTGACTATAATTTATAATTTTCATTAAATTCAATTTAATCAATAATCTTAAACTTAATAATTGTCATACAAAGTATTACTACAAATTATAATTTTTTTGATTATTCATAGTTAAATTCTAGTCTTAATAAACTTACATTTAATATTTCGCCAACTTGGTGTTCATTTAACAGTTGATATGATTCATGCTGAGATGAATTTGGGGAAGACTCGACATCACTATCCATATCACCATCTTCTTTACCTTCATCAAATTTTCCTTCATGATCTCCTGGATCACTATCTGAACACTCTGTTCCTAATTAGAAAAATAAATATTACTTAATTTTTATAAATTTTTAATTATTATTAAATAAATTTATAGTGATTAAAAAAATTATAAATGTTACCACCACAATTATCCTTTGAATTTTCACCAATACAATCTTTAGGAATTTTGTCTATACATTTTTTATGAATATTATAGTGACAATCTTTGCACTGTAGACCTTGCTTAAAAAGTCCACGTAAAAGTTTTTTACAATACCCACATATTGTTGGTCTGGTATAGCTATGGACAACAAACGTATGAGGTATTTTAATTCGAGATATCATTTCTCGGTCTGTCCAGGGAATTTTATCTCCCAAAGATGATGAATTGGACTGTTTAGAAGTTGTAACAGACTGTAAAAATAAAAAAATATGCATATACTTTTAAGTAGGCCAAGTAAAACTACGAATAATTAGAGCGTTTGAAAGAGTCTTAAACTTACAGAAGTATTATTTTGGCTGAGATTAAATGCTCCCATATTTTGATTATCGTCACAAGCACCTCCAAAACTACTTGTAGAACCTTGACTGGGTGATCTAGGCACATTTAGCATTGTTGAACTACGCCTTTGTTTATTTGAATCTTGTATACAATTGTTTGGAATTTTTACAACACATCTTTTGTGATAATTCATGCCACATCCTTCACATTTGAGACCTTGTTTCACTAATCCAAAAAGCATTTCACCACAAAAATTGCAAAAAGTAGGTGTTTTGTATGAATGTACAGATAAAGTATGGGGTCGTACAATAATCTCTTCGGTTGGTACTTGGGCTATAATTTAAGTAAATATCAAAAATATTTATTTTATAAATTTAAAATAAGTATTAATGTAATAGATAAATTTTTAACGTACTTTTTAATACAATTTCAATTAATGTTTCGTCAACTATTTCTGCGGCATTTTTAATAAGTTGTAAAACATTTGATGAGTTGTAGTCATGCTTGAATAAAAGCAATCTTTCAAATAATTGATTCAGCCCATGATCAGGGCATTTAGTAATTATAAAATTACATGCATATTCTTTTAGTGTTTTTAATGTTAAGGCACTTGCCTCTATACTAACAGTATCACGTAATAAACCGAATTGAAAAAGGAATGTAACATTTGCTCCGTCCATGGTAGATTTTTGTGTGTCAATTAATATATAAAAACATACTCTATGATTTATGTCTAAAACAATTATAAAATTTACAACAAACAATCATCACTTGCTTGACTATATATTTAAAAAAAAACATTATTAATTATGAGTTACAATAAAAAATTAGTGAATGTATCACAAGCACTCTTGCAGAGATACAATAAGAAGTATCCTGCAGGCTAGGCTTGACTTTTCATTTTTATCGAAGACGATTTTACGCCCTCGCTACCTGTGGTAACAACAAGATTTAAAAATCAATCATTTATGTTCATGAATGTTTGTTTTGCAATGTTTTAAAATTTATATTAATTTTTACCTTTATTCAATGTTATCAATGGTGCTGAATATTCTTTTATGTATTGAGAAACATTTTTAATCGTTTCTAAAGTAATTTTAACAGCTTCAAAAAGATACTTCATTAACTTGGTAAGAGTATACAAACTTCTTACTTTAATACCAGCATTTTCTATATTTTTTTTGCCACTTTGTTCTCGGTCTATAATTACTAATGCTTTAGTAACGTTCAAACCTTCTGGAGTTAAGTCTTTTCTAAAATACTACTTCCACTGATAATAACATCTTCGATAATAACACAATTATCTCCTTTTTTGTATTCATCTTTAATCATTTTTTTTGTACTATAACTTTTTGCTTCTTTTTTTCTTATTATCATTGGAATGTACCACATAATTGATCAATTTTTTGACTACTATCGCTTAATTTCCAAAGAGTACTTGAAAGCCGGCTCTAAAATTGAGATAAATCATAATAAAATATAATTGATATCAATTATATTTTAATTACATTATAACCTGTAATATTAAATTAAATTTAAATTTGATAATTACTTACAAAAATCTTTAGATATCCTATGATAACTCGCCTCTCGAATACATGTCAACACGAGTTATGTTTACATTTATAAAATTGACACTGTACACTGTTTATTATTTATAAACAAAAATGTTTGTTAGCTGTCAAAAATGAGGGGAAATAATTAAAATTAGGGGAAATAAGATGTTTTGGAGTAGGAAAATTTATTTTTAAGAGGGGGCAGGGCCGGAGGAGAATTTAGTCATAGAATATTTGAAAAATAATAGATGGAATAATTCATATAAAAAAAAAACCGTCTCGGTCGGTAATTTCTCCCATGGTAATGGGAAGGCATTAATGAACACGAGTGTACAGTACCGGACATAAATGCTGTGTGATTTTCTATAAGGCAGTATAGGGAAATTGCATGTATAACCGTCAAAAAATTGAACAGCATTTATGTCCGGTACTGCATAAGACAAGATGTACTAAACTTGCAAAACCTTCTGAACAATCATGGAAAATATAATAAGGAGGCCGAGCTCAGGGATAGGATTTTGGTACTAAAAGTAGAGATGGTGGATAGTTCTCCTAAATTCTACGGACAGTGCTGATGTCAAGAAGCGTCAGAAAAATTGAAACAAGTGGGAGAATAGGAGAAGAGAGAGGGATAAGAAGATTAAAGCGCTACAGTGGTAGATCCGCCCACATCAGTTGAGGCCAGACAGCCCAGAGAAGAAGGTATAACAAACATGATTTTTGTAGCTTCTAAAATCTGTAACTTTCTTCAACATCAATATTAAGGAATAAAAATTGGCAGAATAATAGAGAACAGTCTGATCTATGATCCTGTCCGATATTCAAAATAGTCATTAAAATTCCATATTTTTTTTACTGATGTTCGCGATCGTCAATTTCTTGTTTTTTTAAAATTACTTTTCTGAACAATTTTTTTTTCTACGCAGGGAGTTGATTTCAGATTATTTTGTATTAAATTCAATTCTATTATTTTTTCATTTTGCTTCGATTTCGGTCCCTCAGAGGGAACTACTTTCTGTCTTCATGCTCCTCCTCCTCTCAATTATAATGCTCCGCCTTATATGCCCTCTCTTCTTTTTTACTTCGACGCTTCCTGATGCCAGCGCCGCTTGTTGCGTTTCTGTGTAATACCCTACAACTCTACTTTTTGATACTTATATGCCCTCTCTTCTTTTTTACTTCGACGCTTCCTGATGCCAGCGCCGCTTGTTGCGTTTCTGTGTAATACCCTACAACTCTACTTTTTGATACTTCTTTTGCCTACTTCCCCAACGTCAGTGCGGCCTCCTTATTATATTCTCCATGACTCGGGCCTTATTTTGCCTACTTCCCCAACGTCACTGCGGCCTTCTTATTATATTCTCCATGTCCATAAGAAAACTTCTTATTATATTCTCCATGTGAACAACGTACTGGTTCTTGCTTCTGGTCCGAAGGATAGAGATCATTGCTTTGTACTTGTGATAACTGCAAAAAAATGTATGAAGAGCAACAGGTTTCATTTTTGCTTAATCCAGCTGATAGCGTGCAAGCTTATGATGGAGCTGAAAAATTACAAAGCTCAGAATCTCAATACGAAAAAGAAAATATCAGTGCTCTGCAGTGGTCTGGGTGCGACCCGAAGGGTCCACACGACCAACTTCCCAGTGGAAAAAATGAAAAATCAGTTCGAATAGAACCCGTTTCCATTCTTTATAACAAATGGACTTGTTATAAACGGAATGAGTCTGTTTTTATTCATTTGATATGGTTAGTTACTTTATTTCAGTAAAAGAAAAAATTGTGCGTTAGAAGAATTCAAATATACCTCATAGATCCTTTTATTCATTATTTACAACAAATTTAATTATCATACACAAATAAAGTATGTTTTTATTCATGTCATTCGGTTGGTAACATTTTTTTAGTAAAAGAAAAAATTATACGTTAAAAGTACTCATATATATAGAATGGATCCCTATTTTTATTGTTTATAACAATTTAAAACTTATTATTTAAATATTACTATGATCAATAATCACTTGTTAGTAACAATGTTCAACTGTTATGAACACAATTCCACATTATTGACAATTATTATTGACTATTATAGCGTCTTTAATGCTGTTTTCTTAATCCTGACACGAGTTTAAAATTCTTTCATTGCTGATGTTGTTTTTCAAAATTTTTTTTTTTGATGAAATATTGTCACCATATTTTCATACAAGTCTTCTAATCATTTAATATTCATATTTTCCATAAGATCTCGAAATTTTGTCTAGAAAATGGTATAATTTATAAATTGCAAAATTCAAGTAATTTCCTTTTTTTCCAGTTTTTTGATTCTGCCAAAAAAATGGCTTTACCGATTTTGTTGAAAACCTAATCAGTTCTAAGTTGCGCAATTTCGCGTCGAATGCAGTTGGTTTTACGTCGATATCATCTTTTGTTCTCCCGATAATCGAGGCGAAAAATAATTCCGAACGCACATACGCACACACACACACACAGACGTCCACTGGAAAACGATCGTATTCGACTCTGGGGACTTTAAAACGTGGAGATATGTCAAAATTCGGGATTCGCAAAATCGGACCCATTACTTCCTCTAGGAAGTTAATAAAAGCACTTGCTTCTCGTAATCACGTTCAACAAGTAAATGCTATTGAAGAATATAAAATTTTGAAAGAATTCCTTAAAAAAAACGATTTGACTGAGCAATAAGAAAATTAACTTATTTATATTTAATATTAATGGTTTTAGAATAATTTATAATTAAAATATCTATTTTTGAAGCTTATTGATATATTGAATCTCTAATATTCTTTTATTTACATATCTTGCGTTATGTTACGTTACAATTCAAAATATAAATAATTGTCGCTAAAATGGATAAAGGCTACTAGAGTGTCATACAATTATCCGTTAGATGTCGCGACTAACCCGGTGGTCGGTCATTTTAGTGATGATCAGCTGACAGTCTTATGACCGTGACATGACGATCATAAATGACCAATTCGGTCATGCTCGCATTTCTACTCCAGATACACTCAGCTTCATTAATGCCTAGTGTATCCTTGGAGAGTAATTACCGACCGCAGGTATGATTTTTTTTACGTTGAGTTTCCAATCTAGAATTTTTTTCACCTTGGGCTAAACTGAAAAAAGTATAAAAATTAAAATGACATCAAAAATATATTTTAGTACATAGTATAATTTTTTTTCGTATTAGTAGAATACAAAGTTGTGTCGTTATTAACAACAATTAACTCGTTAAAAAGAGAGTAGTTAGTTATTTATCTTGCATGATAATGCACGAATTTTAAAGTTTTTTGAGTTCAGCCCAAGCTCAAAAAATTCTAGATTTGGAACTCAATGTAAATAAAAATCATACTTGCGGTCGGAAATTGCTCTCTTAGGATACATCAGGCATAAATGAAGCCGAGTGTATGTACATACTATACAATATACAATGTACAATCATCAATTTCCATTGAATTGTTGTAGAATTCTCAAATTATTTTTTTGTTTCAATAAAAAGTAATATTATATTTGTAAAAATTAATAATTTTTTCTGTCTTTTCTAAAAGTAATGTTTTTGTTTCATGATAACAATTTAAATTTACATACAAAATGGCGTTAAATTCCAAGACGTCACACAGCGTCAATTGACCAGTAAGGGTCAATGAATATGCAACATGTGGTTATTGACATTTGTTCAGCAAAAACAAACCGGTTTTTTGTATTAATTATCTCGATAATTATGCAAATCATTTATCGACAGTATTTCTCTTAATTTTACTTACTTATCTGAACTTAAAAGTGTTCACAATATTTATGAAAATAAATAGTGATTAAAACAAAAACTTGTTAAGGTTATAATAAACAATTGTGAGTTTTTATGATAAATGTTAGAAAAAAGTTTGTTGAAAATATTAGTGAATAATTTAATTAATATACAATAATGATCCAAAATATTCAGTTAACCATAAAATACATTACAACAAAAAGTTGCTTCGTATATTTATCACATCATTTAACTAATAAATTACCACCAACCGTGCAAGTGGTGAAAGTAACTCATGTTGATGATGTAAATGAAGTTTTTTATTTTTCATTTAATCGTTCACAATCATTCAGAGATAACAATTCAATAGGAATTTCTTCAACTTTTGCTCAACTACTAGACTTTAGAGAAGGTATTTATGTAAACATTACATTTGTAGATAACCTACCAACTTTATCATCAATCGATGTTATTCCTCGAAGCGAAGAAGATCTTGAAATAGTCAAATTACGCTCGAATAAATTGCAAGGAATTATTTTACAACAAATAAATGTTGTTACTTTAAATCAACCAATTGTTATTTGGCTGTCGAAAAATTTGAATGTTGTTTTGTATGTTGATAAATTATCACCCAAATTCAAATACGGAAAATTAGTCGAATTTACTGAAGTTAATGTTCAAGAGTCAATTAAAGATGATAAAAGATCACACAAAGTACAAAAAAGTAACGATTTGGATACAGTTAATGATAAATATTCTCTATCAATTGTTAGAATTAATCCACTGCCAACTTTAATTGAAGAAGTGATTTGTAATAATTATAGCCCAACGAACAAAATTTATTGTGATTTGAATATTTTCATACATTTATCTAAAGCAATTAAAATATCTTCAGGTGTGGAAACATGTGAATACTTTTTTTGTAAATTGGAAAAAGTACAAAATAACAATGAACAAAGACGTTTAATAATGAATGAACAAAAAGATTGGTTCAACAATAGAGAAATGATCATAAAGGTGATAATTATTGAAAATATTAAAAACTTTGATGAATTTTGTTGCCAACAATTGAATACAATAAACGACAATAATGTATTTGCATGTCGAAATTTACTAAGACAGCTGGATTTAAAATTAGGTAGTAAAGTATTTTTTAAGAAAATTACTGTTGAGAAGCAAAATGTAACTGAAATTAAGTTAATTCCCATAAATAATGAAATTAGTCAAGAACTTTTTGATTCTTATATCAAGCGATTCGATGTTTATGATGAAATTTTAATTAATTCAAATACACAAATATTTTTATCACCAGAAGTCAGTTGTGAAATTAAACTCGTTCCTGAAACAATCAATTACAGTTTAGTCAAGATAGATAAGATCAAAACACTACCACTTAGAATTCTTCCTAAAATCTTTAATAACTCTTTATCATCTGTTGGACAAGAAAACATAAAATCACGAATTATTTTAACAAATGCGATCAAAAAAATTATAAATGATTGTAAACTAGTTTTTGAATTAAGGTTGAAAACATGTCAATCATCAGAAATTATTTACAACAAAGAAAATATTTTAATCTGTGGAGGCACTGGAACAGGAAAAACAATATTGTGCGAAATTATTAAACAACAAATTCAACAGCCACCGTATTTATTTCATGTTGAGACAATAAATTGTAAGAAATTAAAAGGGAAAAAAGTAGAAATTGTACAGAAATTTTTGATTTCAACAATGTCTAATTGTGCTTATTATCAGCCATCTTTATTAATTTTTGATAATATTGATTGCATCACAAACAACGATGTTAGTGAGTATGAAGAAAATACTCCTGATTCAATAAATGCGGCAAGAATAACTGATTCAATAATAAATATCGTTACAAATTTTCAAACAGCTCATTGTTTAAATGTCATTGCTACTTGTTTAAATATAAGTAGACTTGGAAATCAATTTAAAACACTTGGAGGAATAAAGTTTTTCAATTTTGTGTACCATATACCAATTTTGGAGAAAAAAGATCGTCTTAAAATTATTCGAGCAAATTTGGAACATAAACAGTTAGATTTTGATACAACAATCGATTGGGATTTTATTGGTGATAAAACAGAAGGCTTTATAGTTCAAGATATAGTTGATTTGGTTGAAAAAATATCTTATGTAGCTTGGAGGAAGTCAGTTTATAATTCGAATGAAAAAAATGAGATAACAATAACCAATAATGATTTTGTAGAAGTTACTAAGAACTATAATCCTATCGCTTTACATGGAGTTTCATTATTTACTGAAACTGGCTATAGTTGGGATGAAATAGGAGGTTTAAAAGATGTGAAAGAATGTTTAGTTCAATTATTACAATGGCCATTGAGTTACATTGAATTATTCAGTAATGCTCCTATTAAACAACAAACAGGAATTTTACTGTATGGAATGCCGGGAACTGGTAAAACCATGATTGCGGGTGCAGTTGCTAGAGAATGTGGTCTCAACTTCATAAGTATTAAGGTAACGAATTATTTTTACTGTTTTATGTAAATAAATTCGGAATGAAACTTTCAGGTTTGATCGATTTATAGTCTAGTCAAGGTAATAGCAATATTCAAATTTTAAAGCGTAACTGAAATCAGAGAAGAGAGACCAGTATAGAAGTCCAATGCTGGGTTAATAACGCGGACTAAGTTTGGGTTCACACGTCGGTACTTTGGGTTAACATGCCGGTAATTTCGGATCACAACGGGAGCGTGACATCCGTCCCCAATAAGATGTCAGTCAAAGGCATTTTTACAATCTTTTAAATTTAAATCTTTAAATGTATAATCTTACTGATTGTCAATCAAATTCTATGATGCCCAGATTTTTTATCTAATGATCATTTTAAAAATAAGCTTTATTCTTTTAATCTTTTAAAATTGGTTTTTTTTATTTTTAATCATTTAATATTCAATCAAATTATAAAAATTCTTCTTTTTTTAATGTTTATCATTTCATTGAACAGTCAACTTAAGAAATTAGGACTGGTAAATTATCTTGCGTCGGTATAGTAGGAAAAAAATTCACTAGTGTCACTGTTTTCTGATAGATAACAGTAATTGCACTGTTTTCAATCAAAAATTCGAAATGCTTATACAAAGAAAAGTCTTCTGTCTGGCTCATGTAATGTCATGTAATTCCTACTACATAAATAAGGATGTTTAGGCTTATAATCTAATGATAATAACATTTTTATCTTCATGTTAACGTAATAACGTAATCCAAGTGAAAAAAATTTGAAAACTGAATTATTAAAAAGTTGAAAAACTTCAAAAATAATGTCTGTCAGTATTATTCTCTCTTTAATAAACATAAACAATTTTAGTGCAACGAAAAAAAAAGTTTATTACTTAAGTTTTTATAAAAATAAATCTGTAATAAAGAAGGAGCATTTTTTTATATAATCGAACAAAAGTATCATCTATATTAGATAAATTCAACAAAGAATGCATAAATGGAAAATATCCTGCATTATGAAGCATAGATAACATTGGTTTGGATACATTAAATTCAGTATTTATTATCGATGATATCGTATTTCAATGGTAAGATAACATAAGATATAACTCATATATACAATTTTCCATAAAAAAAAATATCATCCAAAAGGAAGGATGAACTCATTTACTACCAACATTAGTGGCCACAATTTATTTACTTAAAGCTGACTAGTGATTTATATTAAAATTTATTAATAAATTTATACTCATATTATATTTATATTTAAATCCAGGTAAATTGAGGTATTCATTACAAACACTGATTTATTTTTATAAAAACTTAAGTAATAAAACTTTTTTTTTTTCGTTGCACGAAAAATTGTTTATGTTTATTAAAGAAGAGAATAATACTGACAGACATTATTTTTGAAGTTTTTCAACTTTTTAATAATTCAGTTTTCAAATTTTTTTCACTTGGATTGCGTTATTACGTTAACATGAAGATAAAAATGTTATTATCATTAGATTATAAGCCTAAACATCCTTATTTATGTAGTAGGAATTACATGACATTACATGAGCCAGACAGAAGACTTTTCTTTGTATAAGCATTTCGAATTTTTGATTGAAAACAGTGCAATTACTGTTATCTATCAGAAAACGGTGACACTAGTGAATTTTTTTCCTACTATACCGACGCAAGATAATTTACCAGTCCTAATTTCTTAAGTTGACTGTTCAATGAAATGATAAACATTAAAAAAAGAAGAATTTTTATAATTTGATTGAATATTAAATGATTAAAAATAAAAAAAACCAATTTTAAAAGATTAAAAGAATAAGGCTTATTTTTAAAATGATCATTAGATAAAAAATCTGGGCATCATAGAATTTGATTGACAATCAGTAAGATTATACATTTAAAGATTTAAATTTAAAAGATTGTAAAAATGCCTTTGACTGACATCTTATTGGGGACGGATGTCACGCTCCCATCACAACGTAAAAGTTTCTGTGAATCCACCGAGCGATGGCGCTGCACCAGTTTATTTGAGCCATGACCCTTAATCTAAGAGAGAAAAGAGATAAGATTTGTGTTCTCCTTTGAGCCCGCATCACACGAGGCAAGATTACGCGCTGGAATCTTTGCTTGATTTAGTAGCTATAGCGCTTCAAATCAATCTATAGATTTGAAGCGTGTTATGACGCTAGATGTGATAGTTTTTTTCACGGTTGGCTTCACATGGTGCATGTTTTACAGCTGGATTTCAAAACTATCTGGTTTTGTTGCGTGCGCAGTGACAGCTCCATTTTCATAAAAAATGGCCAATAATATTATTACGAAAATTATTAATCGTAGACGAGCTGCAATTATTGCTTTTTCATTACTTTATGAACACTTAAAACACTTCACTTTCAAAAACACCGATTCAATACAATATAGTCCGACGTCTTATGCGCATGTCAACCATGTGATAAAACGCTTCTTTTTGATTAGTTCTTATTCGAAACAATTTTTTATTAACAAATTACGATGTTAATAAGAAAAAAAAATAAAAACTTATTTATGTATAATAATAATAATGAGCCAAAGGCTTTGAAAAAAATTAAAAAGAAAATTGAATAATTATAAATTGATTTGCCGCTCTTCAACGACAAGATGGCCGCTACAAGGTTATGAAAAGAAATCGTGAATTATTTATTTTCTATTTAATTTCAGCTCCTAAATGTTGTCTAGCGTACTTCTTACAACATTTCTGAGCAAAAAAAAAATTATTTCAGGTGATAAAATTGAATAAATACGAAGAAATTAGAAACCTACGATTTGGGATGATTATTATTCGAAATTAGTTCAAATAAGTCTGACTGATAGCAGCACCATGATCACAGTTGACCCCAGCCATCCATATTTTTTTTCCTTTCTTTCGTTTAAGTAACTCTATATATTAATACATCAATTTATTTATTTTATTAAATTATTCCTCCAATTAATTACGAAAAAAAACTTGTTTTTCTAAGAAGAAGCTGAGGGTGAGGAACGAGTTACTATACTCTACTAGTTACTATACTATACTATACTATACTATACTCATATATCTAATACTCCTACTATATTGCTAGTTCCCGTAAGTGAGCGCGTGGCCTATGAAGTGAGACAGAAAATGAATATGTCTGTCTCTTTCTTTTCATTTGAACTGTTGTGCGCAAGCGTCACTACCGTAGAGGGAGAATTGGCAATTGGAGAAGGGCAAGCCACCTCCCTTTCACAACTTAAAATTAAGTTATAGTAAATACGTTTCTGTATGCTTCGTAGCTCAGCGGTAAAGCTCCCGACTCCGGCAGTGAGTCTCGGGTATTCAAATCTCTTCATTCTTTTCTTTTCTCTATTATTATTATTATTATTATTATTATTATTAGTAGAATAACTTCAATTAATAATTGTTTAAACATGTATAATAATTAAATCATTTATATATAATAATTTAATATCTAATTTCAAAGGTATTTCTATATATTATTTCTTTGTAAATAAATTTATAATAAATAAAATAATCTAAAGTTGTAAGAACAAATTCATTTTTATATTTTATAAATAGTATACAAGCTATTGGATTTTAAATATCTTTATTTAATAATTTTAAAGTTTACTGTATAAAAAATGTAGCATTCATGAGCTTTGAAATTAATTTTAAACAATTTACAAATAGAAATGTTTTTTTTCTTTGTTAATGAAAAAAGATTTTATTTTATTTTTTTTAAATGAAGTTTGCATATTCTACTTCTTATAAGCAGCTTCATTCAAATGAACAACATATTTGAAACAGGCATTTCAGAAAAAAATAATATTTAACAATAAATAATTTATTATTTACACATACCAGTATAACAAATTATACATTATTAAACTTATTGGTGTTTAAATAATACGAGTTTTGTATATTTTTGTCTTATAAAATGATCCTTCTCGGACATTTTTTTGGCTTCATAATGTAACCGAGTATTTAAATATAATTCAATAACGTATTTGCGAAGTTGCGATCGATGATTATCCAAAATATCTTGTGATAAAATGTGTTCATTCATGATTTTATTGTCAAATTGCATCCCTATGTTGTTAAATATTTTATTTATTAAAAATTGTTTAATTGAAGGTTTACTTATTTCCGATTGATATTTTCTGATAATCTGTTCGCAAACTTTGCAAATAGCCATTACATTCTTTGATGGTGTTATATATGGTCCGCGATTTTTTATTTGCGATAATAAAGGCATTGTGCCTTTAGTAGCGTCGCCTTTTAATTGTATAATACAAACTTGACATTTTACATGGAGTCAATTAAAATATATAAAAAATTGGATGTAAAACAGACGCTACTTCATATGCAAAATGAATATCTCATATCTCATTTCTTGTACAAATTGGAATGCTATCTAATGCGCACGCTCCATTCACGATCATGCGCACAAGTCGCAGCGTATAATAAGTGAGACAAACGCATATATGTCTGCACCGCAATGTTTAAGTCTCTCTCCCTATACCGACTAGCAATATAGGAGTATTACATATATGACTATACTATACTATACTATACTCTTTTTTAGAAAATGTTGTCTTTAAAAGACAATAGGAATTGATTTTAAACTAGTATAAACAACCAATTATTGCATTTATGTAAAATTTTAATGAAAAAAAAAGAAAAAAAAATGGGTATGACAGGGATCGAACCCTAATCGGTAAAATAAAAGCCTGGTGTTCTAACCACAAAGCTAACCCGTATGGAAATAATTTCCTGAAAAAACTCTGAAGAGCTCTGAAAATTCTGGGAAAAACTCGGAAAAGTCTCTGAAAAATATCTTCCAGATTACTGGCTTGTTTTTTAGTTCTATTTGTTTTATACGACAATGCTTTTTGAGTGTCATGACCCTCTTAAAGTTGTTGCAATTGAGTACGAATGTTTAAGGTTAAAAAAAATGAAAGTTCTTTTCTCCTAATCACTTGATTACGATTACTACAGATTAGCGCAATATTTTTGTCTAAATTAGATTGTTCTCATAAGTGTAATTGACATGGAGAGCAGTACAAATGGTGTTTTATAATATCGTTTGGAAACGGAAAATACTTGAATACTAGATATTTTGTAGCTGGAACTACATTTTTGCTGAACAAAGCATTGATCATACTTAATATATCAATAATAAGCTTCTCCTCTTGAAGTTTGAGTACATTTGCACAATTTCTCACGAAGACAAAAAGCAGCTCTCTCCCCGGGTGAAAATAAAAAACTGAAAACAGAAATCCGAGTAATTTTTATATATTAATATACAGTCGGAAACTTAACTTAAAAAAAACTGAGGTAGTGAACAGAAGTCGAAAAATTGTAAACGAAAAAAAAACTGAAAACCATCTGAAAATATCCAGTTGTGACAGGTTTTTTAATAAATTTACCCGACGCGCTTATCACCAGTGATTCTAAATACTTAAGATTACCTGCAATAATTCAATTATATGGATATTTATTAATATGAAACATCATTAAACATTGAAATAACCAACAGAAAGTAAGCCAGTGGTCGCGTCCCCAGCGTAAGGATTAGGGCTTTCAGTTTATGGTCAAGAAAGTACCCACCGACGTCATTGGAAAAACCCAAGAACATTTCCCAATTCAGGGAAAATGCAACTCTACATTACGAAATGACGACTGTTAATTAAAAACGTAATTTCATTAGTAAATTTCATTTTAAATAAAATCATTTATTCTTCAAGCTTAGCAAATTTGAGGTTCAAAGTACATTAAATTTACCGTGAGAATTTGTTTAAAGAACTCTCTTGTTTACATTGATTATAAACAATATTAAAGTCTCTTATAAAGTATATTATTGTATCAAATGTGCATATTAATATTCAAATAACATTTGCATTCAATACATACCTTTTTTTTATCATGCCACGATTTAAGAATTCACAAAATTTGACAGATTACTCAAGAACATGACAATGGCAATTAAAAAAGCAATTTGCCAATATCAATGCCAGGTATGTATGATGTTTTTTAAAATACGTTAAAGGTAAACGTATTCTTTATAAATATAGAAGACTTATAACTGGATTTACAATGTCATATTTTTAGACGTCATCAAATAGAAGGTCCATCAAATGATAGCTCCGCAAGGTTTGAAATCAACTTCATTACAGGTATTTTGTCATTTTAAGGTCTCTCTTTTCATGTAATTGTCTAGCTTCTATTTACCTCATATCTTACGTATTAACGAATGAAAATTCTTCTTTATTACTTATATCTAAAAATTTATTTTGATCGACATTCAATCAACAGCTTAAACTTGTTCTTATATTTGTAATTTCCTTCATAATATGTTTCAATTGCTAGTTAATCTGTATTTTTTTTTATTAACTCTGTTAATAGATAATTTAGCTCAACTTTCATTTTCTATAATAATATTTATAAATGTAAAAGTGTCCGTTGTAGAATCACTAAATTATTCGCTAATATATTTTTAATAGAACCAGTGCAAGAAGTTAGAAGAGAAGACGTGATTGATGAAGTTATGTTAGATGTTGAGGAACCAAGAAATACAATCCAATATAAAAATGAAGAAATGGAAGAAACAGTGAACGAACCAGAAAGCTTAATTCTATAGGAAGCTGAAGGAAGTGCAGAATTAGTTGATGAACCAGCAACAGAAGTTGATCCACTGATAGATATCATTGGACATCGACGAGAAGAAACTGAAGACGAAGAAGAAGAAGAGAGTGAAGAAGACATTGAAGATGATAATGTATTTGTTGATAGACAAAATGGAGGATGGGAAAATGATGGGGATGAGCCTCTTTATGATGGAGCTACCATATCTGTAGCAGAAACAATAATTGCAATTTTAACTTTTGTCTTGAAATTTAATTTAACTGGTACGTGTTTGAGTGCTTTGCTAAAATTAATTGCATTGATTATACCTGCGACTCCCAGATTTAAAAAAACTATCTACAAATTCCACAAATTTTTCAATAACATGAAGTCTCCTCTCAAAAGACATTATTATTGTTCATCATGTTTTGTGCATGAAAACGAAAATGATAATGAATCATGTAGTTGTGAAACAGCGAGTCTATCTTATTTTCTGCAAATACCTATTGTCAACCAGTTGCAGAGTTTATTGTTAAGACCGAATTTTTTGGATGATTTAAATAAAAGTCCCACAATAGGAACTTCAACAGTAATATCAGATATTTATAATGGAGAAATGTATAAGAATTATACCGATGATAGTGGATTATTGGCACATAGAAAGCCTAACATTTCTTTTATGTTTTATACTAATGGTGCGCCTGCATTTAAATATTCAAAATGCAAAGTATGGCCTATATATCTAATAATTGACGAATTACCTTACAACAAAAAAATTTTAAAAGAAAATATCATAGTTGCTGGCATATGGTTTGACCCAGAAAATCCAAATCCCAATCTCTTCCTTCAGCCTCTACACACTGAAATAGTGCAATTACGACGCAAAGTATTTTTTCAAACCCCAGAAACCACTGTTCCAATAACAATTAAAGCATTACTCATTTGTGGCACATGTGATATTCCGGCAAAAGCTGACTTTCTCAATCATAGCCATCACAATGGTTTTTATGGGTGTACATTATGTTATTCATCTGACTATAACATATCTGGCACAAATTTCGGCAATACGCATGTTTATCCCTTTGATGGACCATTGAAATTACGCACTGTTGATGAACATCGTCAAGATGTTGAAGAGGCTTTTATTGAACAAGAAAGAATTTTTGGAGTGAAAGGACCATCATTACTATTCTCCATAATGCCAAATGCAATTAATGGAATGTTCATAGATACCATGCATTGCGTATTTAATGGTGTTGTTTCAAAGCTAGTTCATTTATGGTTTGACACTTCTCTACGTTATGAAAGATTTTCATTACATGCGAATAAAGCAATCGTAGATAATTACTACAAATCCAGCCAATATCGTCTGTATCAAGAATGCCCCGCTCAATATCGGATACTTTTAGTCACTGGAAAGCAAGTGAATGGAGAAATTTCTTTTTTTATTACTCGATTCCGATACTTCAGGATGTAATGAGTGCCAAGTACTTTGAACATTACCTACAATTAATCCAAGGAATTTATATGCTTAGCGCCAATAGTATTTCTCCAGAACAGTTATGTCAAGCTGAAAAATTGTTAATTTGCGTTGTGAGTAATTTTCAAGCTTTGTATGATGCCCGATTCATGTCTATAAATATTCACTTGTTGATGCACTTAGCTGAATCAGTCCGAAATACAAGTCCAACCTGGGTAACAACATGTTTCCCTTTTAAATATCTAAACGGTAAATTATTGAAGTACATACATGGTACTAATCATGTAGGTTTACAGATCGGCTCTAGTGTTGCTTACAGTATCATAATATCGAATGTGGTATCAACGTTAAATCACGATTTGGAAATAAAAAAATTCTGCTCAGACCTTTTGATAACCGGAAAACGTTTAAAAAAAACACAACAAATTTGTGAAAGAACGTACACTATTGGTAAAACGAAAACTTATAATAATGTTCCAGGATTAAAGCTATCTACTTTTCGTGGAATTAAAAAAAATGGGAATATTATATACAATATTAACTCTAATAGATCGCGACTCTGTGCATCTTATGGAGTCGTATATAGAGAAAATAATACTTCTGAAATGAAAATTGGTTTCATTGAATCATTTCTTAAGCTGTGCTACTGTAATGACCAATGTCAATCAGCATGTCCCCAAGCAGTGTATATTGCTATTGGTATAAATGGTTCAACAAGTCATTCATTTAGCACGTCTTTAAATATGATACTTGATAATGACGTTAACGATACAAACTACCAGCGCATTCCACTTTCATATATTCACAGGTTTAGAGGAAATACTACTAGGAATGTAATATTGATTAGTAGTATAGAATCAATTTGTTTCACCTTGAAAATAAATGGAAAAATTTATATTGGTGAACTAATTAATAACGTTGATTTTAAAGGTGCTGATTAGTTTGAGTTACAATAGCTTAGAGCAATTTTTATCATTTTAGGTTAAAAAAATTAGATTTAGAGTAATGTAATGATATGGGCGCCATGTCCAGCTCACTGTCTGCTAATTTATGTAATAATGTTCAATTTAACGTATTATAATAATGTTATTCAAATGTATTTTCAATAGTAACTGGATTTTGTGAATGTATCTTCTACTTAAAAATTGATTTTTTAATAAAAATAATAATAATTGTTGAGTACTTGATTGAATAGATTTAGCCGTGCAAAAAATTTTCATGCATGATTAATTAACGATATATGTTTTATATAAGACGCAGATGTGGTATATATCTAAAAATGTTATCGTGGGACGTGAACTTCAGAGTCCAATATTTAGAAAAATTTTCAAGTCCAACATTCAAGAAATTTATTAGGTCCGATATTTACAAATTTTTATAAGTCTCATAGTGGAAAAAATTCAACTAAAAAATTCTTCCGTCTTGTTTCAGTTTCAATTCCGTTTGAACTTTCTCACTAGCATATCTCTTCAGTACATTGTCAGGTAATTTTCAGTGGCTAATATTGGTTTCGTCTTGTTTCCGTTCGAAATTCGTCTAAAGTCCTGTTTTCAGTCTTATTTCAGTTTTTTTTCCGTCCTTTATTTTCACTCGGGTCTTGTTGATGTGCTTCCTGTCAGTAAATTCAACAATTAGTTTGTATTATCTGTTATATTGTAAACAGACGATATCGATTATATGATATTCTTAATTCGTCGAAACCCATCGATAATTCATCAAGAGAAAATCCTCGAATGTCTTCATCCTAAATAAATAATAATTGTTACAAAATTATTTCGAATGATTAATAATCCGAATTTGCAAATTATTATTTATCATATACATTAATTTAATTTATGTCTTATATAGTTTCAAACAGATGACTGTAATTTATGTGTTAGAGTTAATTTATTGACTCAATTGAATGATAATTACAACAAGGGATAGAAGTTTACAAGCAATTGAGTCATATTATGACTATTGAATTAAGTACACATATCTTGAGAATATCCGACCTCCAATCAGCATTAAATAAAAGACGGGTTTTTGAGATCTTACTGACTTACTAATATAGGGATGACTAGGATTTTCTTGTAATAAAACAACACAAGTCATGCTAGCAATCTCCTTCCACCTCCTCTCTAATCTTTCTAAAAGTTAACGTAAATCTTAATTTGCTTGGGTCTTTTTGACAGAAAAAAAAAATCAAATCCACATTCCTTGGATTTATACAGTAGTGATGCTGATTGGAACAAGGTATTAGCAAATGTTCATACATTATCGTAAAGATTATTATAGGTAATTCATCGTTCGTTATAAGTGTAATTGAAGTTTTTCATTGTATCTGTAGCCAACTACATCAAAAGGATTATCCAGTGCATATTTATCGAAAAAAATAATAAAATGTCCTTCAACTGATAGTGACTCAAGTGATTCATCTAAAAAGAATTATGAAGAACTGTTAGAAAGACACAAAAGATTAAGAAGAAAATAAAGCAACTACAACGAGATATTTTTGCCACATCGTAAAAAAAAATTAATTCAGAATATGGGTATAAAATTAAAAGGGAAGCACTTTAATCGGCTTGGGACAAACCAGATGCAAGTAAAGTGGTTATAACGTTAACGTATGCGATATTCGGTTATAAACTCTTATCTGAGAGCTGAGTAAATGGTCAAAAAAGACCTGCTCTCAATAAAGATGGAGTGATGGTTCTAAAAAGGCTATTTCGAAAATGGCTACATGCTAAAAAACTTCCTGATCGAGTAATTGATCGTGAACTTCGAAGAGTCAATGAATATCTTGGCAGTGCAATAACAGAAGCCATGAGGCACCTGAAGAGTGAAAGGTATAAACAAATGTAAGGTTTATCGTCGTCTTTACGCGGGAGCTTTACAACTCTTTTCTATTTTTTTGGTCTCTTTACGCAAGAGCACTGAATTATGATAAACAAAGGTACGTAATTTCATGTAGTTACCTTTCATCTGTATTCTTTGAAAATGAGTGACTGAAAGTAAAAGTTTCATTATAACAGTAAACAGTATCCAACAATAAACAACTCGTTTTTCGTTTTGAACAGATTTGATTAAAAATATTGTTGAGAAAAGCTCAACTTGTGAATTAACCTAACCGTTTAAGGATAGGGATGATTGTCCCGGAACAGAGCAAACGGAAGTCAGGTTTTATAAAAAATAAAGTATCTTTATTTTCAGCACTAACAGGTACACTAAATACATTGACAAACTTTTTGTTATTAAATAGGGAGACTGAATGTCGCTCAAAATCACTGAATGTCTATTTTAATTACTGAATCTGAATTGAATGTCCAAAAAATACTCAACTTGGTGTGTTCGGTATTATTGACCTCCCACACGAGCTCAGCACGCTTCTCAAGTTGAGCAAGAATGTGATTGTGCACGTGGCGTTAGCCTATCAATGCAATGCAAAATGAATATAATGAAATGTCTTGAATTTACAATGAAATGTCTTGAAATATTACTTGATTCTAGTTTTAGAATGAAGCCTGAATGTTCCTGATGATTTACAATAGCACTAGTACTGATGATTGACTCAAAACTTTCAGATTTGTTAAGAAAGAATATAAATGGCGTGTAGACGTGAACGAGAACAGTGAAAAAATGGCGACAGGAACTTCATTAGTCAAAAGGGACACTGAAAATTAGTCAAATGATTGACTAAATTAAGGCTGGGCTGAAGTCAGAAAGTTTCCCGGAGTTGACTTTACGCCCTCACGTTGTGCGGCGAAAAGCCGAAGCTCGATATCAATTGAAATTGAGTAGGTAACAGAGAAATCGTTCGAAAAATGATAATTTTCAGGGATGCACTACAAAAAGGGAGCCTTAGGGTACCAAGAAATTTACAAATTTCAGAATAATCTGTTCCGAGCAAGACAGAGCACAAAATATATCTATCTATCTCCGTCTTATTTTTCAGAGAAGACTGCGAGTTCGAACAGTTGACGAGCAAGCACATTCCCTACCCTCTGTTACTAAGCCTGAAGCTTACGATATCTAAACGTAAACAAAGCAAATGAAAATATGCTAGCTCTATAGTCAGAAGGTTCGCCAGTTATTTTACCGAACGATGTTCGATTCCAATTGCGGCAAAATTTTTTTTTATTTAAATTGCATGTAATTGCAATTTTATCATGCCAAAAATGAGTTTTAAATTTCAATTTTTATGTAAAATTTTTTTTTCAATTAATCAATGACAAATGAGAAAATATTTGAACAGGGCCATTAACCTTTTTTTGTACAAATACATTGATAATAGCCTTTTTTAACAACTTATTAATAATAAAAAATTGTTTAAACAATCCGCGGCGAGTTCCGATACTTCGCCGGCAAGCTCGACCCCCACTTTCTGTGCCCAAGCCTGTAGCTTATAATTTTCAAGCATCGTTTATATAATTGGAACTATAATAGCTCAGTGGTTAGAGCCCCGACCTTTTATTTTGCTGGGCAGGGTTCGATCCCAGTCATAGGCAATTTTTTTTTCTGTTTCTTGTTCAAGTGACTTTATATACTTATAAATCAATTCATATATTTTATTACATTATTCTTCCAATTAATTACGAAAAAAAACTTGTTTTTCTGAAAATAAGCTGAGGGTGAGGAACGAGTTACTATGAATTCTCTTCTTTAGAAAATGTTGTCTTTAAAAGACACTAGGAATTGATTTTGAACTTATACAAACAACCAATTATTGTATTTATATAAAATTTTAATGAAAAAAAAAATTGGCTATAACTGGGATCGAACCCTAATCGGTAAAATGAAAGCTTGGTGTTCTACCTACAGAGCTAACATATTATCTCTGACATCATGTTTATGTTTATAAATTGTATAATGCAGGCTTGAGTACGAAAGGTGGGGATAGAGCTTGCCGGCGAAGTGCCGGAAATCCCCGGGGATTGTTTCAACTACTTCTAAAAATTTCTAAATTGCTTAAAAAAAAGCTACGTTTATATAGCTATAGTAAAAAAAGTGTTTATAACCCTGTTCATGTTTTCCGACTCGGCGTCGATAAATTACATAAATAATTGAGAAAAAAAAATCAAATCGTTGGTAAGGATTCATTTTAGCATGTTAATATTATAATTACATGCAAATCTAACAAATGAAAAAGAAAAAAAAAACTTTACCATGACTGGAATCGAACCCTGCCCATCAAAATGAAAGACCGATGCGCTAACCACCGAGCTATTATGATTACAAAACATTTATATATGCTCAAAAATTATAAGCTGCAGGCTTGGGCATAGAGAGTGGGGGTAGAGCTTGTCAGCGAAATGCCGGAACTCGCCACGGATTGTTTAAACTACTTTTCAATGTTGATAATAATATGATTAACTTGTTAATAACATAACATTGTTAATACATGTAAAGATGTATAAGTTGTTAAACACAGGCTATTATCAATGTATTTATACAAAAAGAAAGTTTATGGCTCTGTTCAAATATTTTTCGACTTAGCGTCAATAAATTCAATGAATAAAGAGAAAAAAAAATCAAATTGTTATAAAAGATTAATTATAGCATGTCAATATTATAATTACAGCTAATCTAACGAATAAAGTAGAAAAAAAAAATTGGTTATGACTGGGATCGAACCCTGCCCGGCAAAATAGAACTCTGACGCCCTAACCACATGGCCAGCATAATCTCGATATTGAGTTAATGTATATTTGTTTTTATACTACATGCTTGGATACGCCGACTTGGAATTGAGCTTCCTTATTAACATTTATACCTAATAAAAATGATAATAATGGATGAATATATGTATTTGAAGTTATTTGCAGGTATTATATTAATTAATGTTAAATGAGTATCATCATTTTCATTTATTCTAACTGCAATAGTCATCAAAGTGTAGGGCATTGTAAAGTGATACACTATGTTTACATCACATACATATATAACCCGTACACACACATGCAGAATTTACTCGCCAAAATGCAGGGCACCATCAGTTCTGGATACGGATTGAGCATTTTTTCAATATGGATGACTGAGGTCATCTGCGAGCATAATGCTGTCACCTATCGGAATTTTTTCAAACTAATTTTCCGGAGAATCTCATCTGGAATACAATATTTCTAATTATTTCTAAATTATTCAATTTTATACTATGAATTGATTTTTTTGACATTCAGACAGGTGGCAAGGACTGACGCAAACACGAATTATGGGCGAAAAACGTATAAAAATAGAATAATTAGTGATTTTTCATCTGAATGATGTGGCCGCCATCTTGAAATTTAAGCGCGGCAAGTCAATTCATAATTTTTTTCATTATTCTTTCTAATTTTTTTAATAAAAATATTCACTATATACCAAAAATTGTTGTTTACGTCAGTCCGGCATCAATTCCTCTGTAATTTGGTACCTAATTTTATAGAAATAATGGTAAATTGGCGAAGAAATTAGAAATTTCCCGATCCCATGTATTTGGATAGGGGGAATCAGTCGCCTTTCTGACTTCAGCCCAGCCTTAAGAATTATTGATTACTTGGTCGATTGGTTATCGACCCAGTCCCAAGATGGCCGCCGAAGTTCCTGTCAGCTGGCAAATTCAAACTGAAAATGAATTAATTCTCAACAAATATTATATATGCAGTTACCTAAAACGTAATTTTATTTTTATTTTCTTTAAAATTAAAAGTACTATCAATTATTTTATTTACTTATTTGATGCATTATGTGGTGCAATAAAGCATTAAATTATAATGAAAAAAGAGATTATGATTTAATGTTATCTTGAATTACTGTACTTTAAGAATGGTGTTACTAAAGTAAAGTTGTCATTCAATATTTATGTATCTCATGTTTAAATATAAATATTTAAATTGCAATAAATATTACTTGTTTTATTTTGAACTCTTTTCATGTAAGTGTTCTTCATTCATAAATAGTTTTATTAAACATTATACTTTCTTACTTCTATATAAATAAAAAATTTAATTTCATCAACAATTTAGTACGTGTTCTATTTATTTTCTGACTCTGAAAAACTCTGTAAAACTCGGAAAAAGTATCTTCCAATATCCAGAAGATTTCAGACTACTCTCATGAGTTTTGCAGGGTTATTCAGTCTTCTTCAGAATTTTTCAAAGACTTCTCAGGAAACTCAAAGAGCTGTTCAGAGTTTTTACAGGAAATCATTTCTATACAGGAATAACTCTGAAAAAACTCGAAAAAAACATGTTCCAATATTATAAGCTTTGAGACTACTCTTCAGAGTTTTTTAGGGCTATTCAAAATTTGAACTTCTCAGTGGGAAGTTTAGTAATGGATCCGATTTTGCGAATCCCGAATTTTGACATATCTCCACGTTTTAAGGTCCCCAGAGTCGAATACGACCATTTTCCAGTGGACGTCTGTGTGTGTGTATGTACGTTCGGAATTATTTTTCGCCTCGATTATCTCGAGAACAAAAAATGATATCGACGTAAAACCAACTGCATTCGACGCAAAATTACGTAACTTAGAACTAAAAAAGTTTTCAGGAAAATCGGTCCAGCCATTTTCTTTGCAGAACCAAAAAACCGGCAAAAATGGAAAATGACCTGAATTTCTCAATTTATAAATTATACCATTTTTTAGACAAAATTTCGAGATCTTATGGAAAATATGAATATTAAATGTTTGAAATAATTGTATAGAGATATGATAGAGATATTTCATAAAAGAAAAAATTTTTAAAAAACAGAATCAGCAATGAAAAAACTTCAAACTTGTGATGGGATGGTAAAAATAGCACTGAAAACAATATAATAGTCAATAATGATTGTTAAGAACATGAAATTGTGAAAAAAAAATCAAATCGTTATAAAGAATTCATTTTGGCATGTTAATATTGTAATTACATGCAAATCTGACAAATCAAAGAGAAAAAAAAAACTTTACCATGACTTGAATCGAACCCTGTCCAGCAAAATAAAAGACCGATGTTCTAACCACCGAGCTATTATGGTTACAATCCGCTGAATTATGCTTGTAAATTTTAAGCTGCAGGCTTGGGAACAGAGAATGGGGGTAGAGCTTGCCGGCGAAGTGTCGGAACTCGCCACGGATTGTTTAAACTTTTTTTTATTGTTAATAAGTTGTTGAAAAAAAGCCTCTTATCGATGTATTTGTACAAAAA